TTTCAACATGTCTTTATTATAATCTTTTATAAGAAAAATAATATATATATATTTATATATATATATATATAGAGAGAGAGAGATAGATGATACATAGATACATATATATATATATATGTATAGAAAGAGAGAGAGAGATATGATACATAGATAGATGTGCATAACTATATATATGTGGTTAAGTAGTTAGAACATTTTCTCTAAAACCATGAAACCAGTGTTTAAATCTCATTATACACTGTATAACAAATTATTAATGAGGTGACAATTTTCCATTTTGTCTAAAAACTACATGTTAGAATTTAACAAAATTTTCACAGAATGATGGCATACTAATGTAAAAAAAAAAGGTATAAATTAAACATTTTGGTAAACATCGTTAAAGAGATATTTGCATGAGTAACATGATTCTTCATATTTACAAATTATTAATGAGTGTTTTATTTCATTATTGTGAAATTATTGGTTGATTTATTGTGATTTATATATTTGAGAAATCCGTTGTTAAAACATTTGTTTGCAAAAGGTAAATCAACATTAGAAATATAAAAATGATTAAGATATCAACAATATGTGAAAAGGTTTACATTACTAATCTCCTACTAAGGTATTTAAGAGGGCCAATATGAAATTATCAAAAGTTGTTTCTTTTATATTTCCTCTTTCCATAAAATTAAATATCATGAATCACTATAAAATAACCCTACCCTCTATTATAACATTGAATATTAAATAAATATCACCATATATATCATTAATAAATAAGGATTACAAATTTCTGTTTGTTACATATACACAGTCACCAAAAACAAACAAATAACCAGCTTTAAATATAACAAATAAACCCCCATTTTTTAAAAATTTGAAAATAAATATAAATAATAATAATTTTTACCTATCATAATTTTAAATAAACCCCACCACACGCATATACATACATGCGAGGAAATATTTTTCAGAAGGGAAAATACAATAAATATGACATGTATACACGAGAACGAGACATTTCCGCCACACTTCCAATGTTTAAATTTCAACATTTCAACATACAAATGCGTATGTATAGACATAACACCACCCGTATACATACATATGTCATATCCGAAACTGCCACATACATATGTTTATATATGTATGAGTCCCGACGGACGACCAAGTATGTATATGTGTCTGCATACATCGATGTTTGCGTTAGTACGATGAATGACAAAACGACGAAATTTCCCCCACCACTTCCACAATAACACCAATACACGCAATCTACATAAACCCAAATTTTTAAAACATTAATCAGTTTGTCTTAAATCCAACCATAATGATATATTCTTGACAATTTTGCAGGGGACAAAATTGATTCAGCATTTCAGTGAAGAATATTCCATCCCAAACAAATGGGAGTATTTTTTCAGATACTAGTCTTTAAAAACTTAAGACTTAATCAGGAGAATGAAGTGGAAACATTTCTTCCTTAAAAACTGCAAACAACAGGGGACAAAACTGCAATATGGATTTAAAATTTTAAAATGAAATCAAATAACAGTTTTGAAATGGATGTATTTGATATTTTATTAATATCCATAATCGCAAAAACAAAAATTTGCACTTGGACACTGTTCGGGGCCAAGAAATGTGCGCTTTATGAAGAAATCGTGTGAACAGTCAAGACAATGAGGGGTCCAAAGGTTTGAAACTGGATTTTATTTGCCAATTTAAGGGTACTCTGAAGAAATGCGTTTTTCGGTCGTATAGTTCTTATTTGAGCCAAACTTTCGGCGTATAGAGTTGATCGGCGAACGTAGCTGGTCGACTGCCGAATGGGAGAATAGACTGGAACAGCAGCAGGTTGATCGATGTCCCTAAACAGGGCCAAGGCAGAACAGTGATACGACTTTACTGGGCGGATCGACCACGGAAACGGGGTCGCGCCAAAGTGTACCACTTGGCGAAGACGGAGTCCCTAAACAGGGCCAAGGCAGAACAGTGATACGACTTTACTGGGCGGATCGACCGCGAAAACGGGATCGCGCCAAAGTGTAACACTTGGCGAAGCTGGTCAGAGAGGTGATACGTCTTCCAGGGCGGATCGACCGCGGAGAAGGGATCGCGCCGAAGAGTAACACTCTCGACAAAGCACAGGAAGCTCACAAACTACTACATTTTGATCCAGGCCCCCGGGCCGAGCAGCTTGGATTTGGATGAAAAAAGGGGCTAACAATATTTGGAGCGATTTATTCAAGTACTCCCTGGCTAGAGGGAGTAGAAAACCGTAGATATTAAATTAATATCAATGGTTGTCCGATGTTTGAAAGAGCGCTGCATAATCCGATGCTCACGAGGTACAGTTCGGCATCAACGATATTGGACTAGTCATCCGGTTTCTCGCATGTTGCTTGACTTAAATCTGCGAGATCAGGGGTTGTGAAGGTCAAGGTCGTCTTTCTAAGGAGCGGCTAATGGCGGCCGCGACAAGGCCCTTCCCCTAGAAAATTGATCATATCAATTAATAATAATATTTACGAAGGTCTTTAGGGAAAGTGATCCTCCTACCGGATCTGGTTTGCTGCACAGGAGTCGCTGGAGTGTCGTCTGATGTTTGCGGTGCTGCGTGTGCCGGGTGCCCTGGAATAGCATTAGGGGGCTGCAGAGCCGGGTTTGCGTCGTACTGTCGCTTCTCCAGAAAAGCAGGCTTGGTCCGATCAATCGCGACGGTGTCGGTTGAGTTGGCGCGCTTGATCGTAAGGTGCTTGTCGGTGCGCCGAAGAAACTGAAAAGGACCTTGATATGCCGGCGTGAGGGGTCGTCTCACGGCGTCGTTCCGTACGAAGACGAATTTGCAATCCCGCAAGTGTTGAGGGATGTACGAATTCATCGGTTGCTGTCGCGGAGTTGCATATTTAAGCCGGGCCATTTTGTGGCGAAGTTCCTCGACGAAAGGAGTTGTTGGTTTTGAAAACGTCTGAAGGGAGTCGTTGAAATATTCGGCAGGCAGCGCAAGAGGTGTACTGAAAACCAGTTCGGCGGGTAAACAATCCAAGTCCTCCTTTACGGTATTCCTCAATGCTAGGATAATCAAAGGTAGGTCGTCCACCCAATTGATAGTGTCATGTCTAGTGGCCAGGGAGGTTTTAAGGGACCGATGAAACCTCTCGACTAAGCCGTTGGCGCACGGATGATAAGCGGTAGTCTTTATGTGCTTGGCACCAAGTAGATTGGTAAACTCCCGAAAAAGGGACGACTGGAACTGTGACCCCCTGTCGGTCGTGATGATTTGGGGCGTGCCGAAAGTTCCAATGCACTCTTTCAGGATGGTCCTGGAGACGGTGCTTGCAGAAGTGTCTTTTATAGGTATGGCGGTCGGCCACCGCGAAAAACGATCCACAACCGTCAAAAGATACTGGTAATCCCGACACATAGGCAGCGGTCCCACCAAGTCGACATGTATGTGTGAGAACCATGCATCGGGACTGCTGAAGGTGCCAACGGGGGATTTAGTGTGTCGGAGGATCTTACACTTCTGGCATTCCATGCACGTGGAAACCCATTCTCGAATGTCCGCATTCATATTAGGCCAAACGAATCGGTCTGTAATAAGTTTGACTGTAGCTCTCTTACTCGGATGAGAAAGCCCGTGGAAATGTTGGAATACCTGTCTTCGAAGTGTCGGTGGAATGTAGGGCCCAGGGCTTGCTAGGCTGGTGTCACAGTACAAGGTGTCATCGCTGAAGGATGCAGGGAAGTTCCGAAGCTTTAAGGAAGTATTTGAAAGGACGTCTTGCAGCGTGGGGTCGGATTTTTGTTCAGCGGCTATGGAATCTTGACCCAAGACGCCGGTCTGAAGAGATTGAATTTCCGCTCGCGATAATGTGTCTGCGACGGCGTTGTCCTTCCCCGTTATGTGACGAATACCGGTCGAGAACTGTGACAGGTAGTCGAGATGCCGGATCTCGCGAGCTGTATATTTGTCAGAGTTGTTACTCATCGTGGTCGTCAACGGTTTATGGTCGGTATAGATAGTAAAATCTCGACCTTCCAGTAAGTGCCTGAAATGCCTGACGGCCAGATAAATGGCCAGCAGCTCTCGGGAGAAGGTGCTGTATTTTCTCTGGGCTGGCGAAAGCTTGGCCGAAAAGAATGCGATGGGTTCACGTTGTAAATTGAATTCTTGCTCAACTACCGCGCCCACTCCAGCGTCCGACGCGTCGGTTGTCAGGAAGAGTCGCGTCTTCGGATAGTCGTTAATATGCGAGAGCCTAGTATAATTTGCCAATGCAGCCTTCGCTGTATGGAATGCGCGCAGAGCATCTCCCTCCAACACGATGTCCTTATTCCTTCTCTGCAGCAGATTCGTCAGTGTCTGGAGGATGGTAGCGCAATTCGGGATGAACCGACGATAAAAGTTGAGCATACCGAGGAAACGTCGCAATTGTTTCATGGACGTCGGTGTAGGAAAATCCCGGATCGAGCTGATCTTGTCTGGCAGAAGTGCTATGCCGTTTGCGTCGGTGCGGTGCCCGAGAAAATCAACGCTGGGCGTCCCGAAAACGCACTTGTCCAGGTTCAACATCAGGCCGTAGTGCGAGAGTCGCTGGAAGACTTCTCGCAGGTGTTGCCTGTGAGAATCGGCGTCTTTACTGGCCACCAAGATGTCGTCGATGTAAGCGTATACGTGCGGTAGTCCGCGCAGGACTTCGTCTATGAGCCGTTGGAAGGTCTGGGCAGCGTTACGTAGACGGAACGGCATTTTTAGAAACTCATATAGGCCAAACGGTGTTGTGACTGCCGTCTTAGGGACGTCTTCCGCAGCGACGGATGGTATCTGATGGTATGCCTTTGTCAGGTCGAGTTTTGAAAAAATGCGAGCGCCCTCCAGTCCGGACGCAAAATCATGGATATGAGGGACAGAGTACCGGTCTGGTACGGTTGATGCATTCAATTTTCGGTAGTCGACGCATATCCGAAATTCTTTACCACCAGGTTTAAGCACTAAGTGTAGTGGCGAGGCGTAAGGGCTATCGGAAGGACGAATGATGCCATCACTCAGCATTTTGTCGAATTGTTCCTTGGCGTACGCCAGTTTCTGCGGAGCGAGTCGTCGCGGATGGGAGTGTGCGGGAGGACCTCTAGTTCTGATGTGGTGCTGAGTCTGGTGGTCACCTGAAGCCGTTACTTGGAGTGGTAGTGTTATGTCCGTGAACTGTGTCAGTAGATCTAAGTACTCGCGACCATGGAATGTTGCGACGCTGATTCCTTTGGAGCCTTGACGTGTAGGGGTACCTAAGACACGGAGATTCGTAGTCGTATCGGACAGGGTCCTAGGGTTCATATGGACCGCCAGTGCGTAATGCGCCAGGAAATCCGCGCCGAGGATGGGTACCTTCACGTTGGCCACGGTGAATGTCCAAGTGAAATCACGTCGCATGCCGATATTCAGAGTAAGGGTCCTTTCTCCGTACGTGTCTATCGCGGAACCATTCGCAGCTCGTAGTTTGACCAGGGCGGGCTTAGCGGTGTGGTCATTCTGAGGGGGTACCACGCTGATGGCCGCACCTGTGTCTACTAGAAATTTCAGTTTGTTCCGGCGATCCCAAACGTAGAATAGACGACATTGCGTGTTGGCACCGGATGAGTTAGTCGTCGCCACTCTCCGGTTTATTCGTTTCCCCGGGCCGACGGGTGTGTACAGGGAGGTTTACAATTCCTGGCTCCATCGCCAAATGTACGATGAAACCAACAAACACCCTGGTCGCTTTGCCGTTCTCGGCTGGGGGTTCGTCACCGTCGAGATGGGGTCGATTTCCTTGTCCGTGGGTGCAGGGAGATCTGGATCTCTCGAATTTGTCGTTGAAGGTCGGCCAACGCCCGTTCTGTTTTACTCGGCTCGTAGCGTTCGTGCTTTGCTATGTCGGGGGCGTGAACAGCGTTAACGCTGTGGTCAAACTGCGCAAAAACTAGGTCAGCAGATTCTGCCAAATCATCCAGAGGCGTGGCTCTCATCATTGGTGCAATAATTTGAGCGACTGATTTGGGCAAATGCTCCAGCCATAAACCTCGAAGAACCTTTTCAGACACATTGTGCTTTCCCAGCTGGTTCCTCATATACCTGAGAAGCTGGGATGGCGTCTTGTCACCTCTAGTGACGTTCCGTAGAATTTCCTGAATCATGTCTTCCTCGGAACGCCCGGTTCGCTTGAGGATCGCTTCCTTTAAGTGATCGTATGGTTCATGTTCGCGCAAATCGGAGAGTACGTCAGAAATTTCGTCCATCATATCGGATGGGAGTTTCTGTATTACGTTCGCGAATCTGGCTCGCTGTGAAGTGATGCGTAACATGGAAAAGATAGATTCTACCTGCAAGAACCAGTTCTTGGCATTATGGTGGTATGCAGGCAGAGGTATGATCGCGGCCGTCATGTCTAAATCACTTTTGGCCGACTCCATCATCGCTTAGCTGTCTCACGTCGGGAAGTCACCACTTGTTGCGGGGCCGATAAGGATGTCGCCACCGCAAGCTTTATGAAGAAACGTGTGAACAGCCAAGACAATGAGGGGACAAAGGCAAAGGTTTATGAAACAATAACGTCGATTTTATTAATGCCAATTGTACAAGAGTGTACTCTGAAGAAATGCGTTTAAATCGGTGTCGGGTCCGGTATGACTGGTTCTTATTTAGGGGTAGCTGCTTTCGGTCGTATAGAGTTGATCGGCGAACGTAGCTGGTCGACTGCCGGATGGGAGAATAGACTGGAACAGCAGCAGGTTGATCGATGTCCCTAAACAGGGCCAAGGCAGAACAGTGATACGACTTTACTGGGCGGATCGACCACGGAAACAGGATCGCGCCAAAGTGTACCACTTGGCGAAGACGGAGTCCCTAAACAGGGCCAAGGCAGAACAGTGATAGACTTCACTGGGCGGATCGACCGCGGAAACGGGATCGCGCCAAAGTGTACCACTTGGCGAAGACGGAGTCCCTAAACAGGGCCAAGGCAGAACAGTGATAGACTTCACAGGGCGGATCGACCGCGGAAACGGGATCGCGCCAAAGTGTACCAATTATAAGAAAGTGAATATCAACAACTCTAATTGTGGGAACATCATCAATTCTTCAGATAAACAGATTACTGATAAGTTGAAAATCAGTGATAGGGTGGCTAAACTTTCTACTAAGAAAGCTACATTCTACTTAAAGATCATAAACCCAATTTTCTGAGTAAACTACCTACAAGAATTATTAATCCAACTAGATCTGAAATTGGTATAATCAGCAAAACAATCCTAGAATGTTTGAACCTATAATTTAAAAACCAGCTTGGTCTCATCCAATTGGCTGGTACTAAAGAAGTAATTAGGTGGTTTAAGAATTTTGAAACAAAAGTAATTGTAATTTCATCCAATTTGATATTGTGGATTTCTATCCATCTATATCTAAAGACCTATTTAAAATGGCTTTAGAATTTCCTGGGTTTTATTCCAACATTTCTAAAGATGAAATCAATATCATTTTAAACAGTACAAAATCAATTCTAAGCCACAATAATGAACAGTGGAAAAAATTCGGATGAAGATTTTGACATATGTATGGGATTACTGGATTCTGTGGAGACCTCTGATCTAATCAGATTATTTTGTACAACCTTACTGCATATGAGGAAATTAATATAGGGTTTTATAGAGATGATGGTCTAATGATAGTAAATAATTCTACTGAAAAAAAGTGAATAAGCTAAGAAAATTGATTCATAGAATATTTAAATCTTAACATATTAAGTTTAAATTTAACTCTAATATTAAACAGGTTGATTCTTAGACATAACACTAAACTTAGCCCTTAATAATTTTCAACCTTTCTTGAAAAACAACACTAGTTCTATTTATATCAACCCTATCTCCAATCACCCAAAGTTTTTTATTCAACATATCCCATCATCTGTTGAACATCATATTAACCAGCACTCCTCTAGAGTTGTTTGATAAGCATAAAACTATTTATAATAAAATCCTTAGTGAAAGTGGTTATAGATCTTCTGAGATTAAGTATGTAGAAAATTATAGTTATTCTAGGAAGAAGAAGAACAGAAACAGGAAGATCATTTATACACCTCCATTCAATAAATTAGTTTGTACCAAATTGGGACACACATTTTTAAATTTGTTTGATAAATATTTTCCTAAGAATAGTCAATTAAGTCAAATCTTCAATTGTAACACTCTGAAAATTAGCTACAGTTGTATTAGCAATCTGGATAAAATTATTAAATCACACAATAACAAAACACTGAAACTTTATAATGATAATAACTGTAATCCAAGCACAAATTCTAATATATCCCATGTAACTAACCTATGTAATTGTAGGAGTCCTGATAATGCCCATTACCAAACAAATGCTTAAGGAAATCCATTGTATATATGTGTTCTATTTCATCAATTGAAAACCCTGGAAATATTAAATTATATGTTGGTTCTACTAAGAATGTCTTTAAAAAACAATATTATAATCATATATCTTCTTTTGCTAATGCCAGCAAACGCAATATGACTTCACTTTCTGTTATAGCATACCTACAGATGATAATAGGTATGTCCCCATTCACATAGATACATTAGTAAATAGTGTATGTTGGTCTGCTGTTGGAGATTCATTGTGGAAATCAGTTGACTACTTCTACACACTGCTGGCAAATCTTATATGTGTTGTTCTGGAAACTGAAAGAAGAAAACAAGACAAGATGGAAGATCCTCAAAAAAGCCAGAATATGTAGATCTTTGTATGAACCTTATTTTTATGTTTACAAGAAAAAATATGTATTATTAAGCTTTTGAATAATTGTCAATTGTTAAACCAAAGATTTGAAATTACCTTTTTTTTTGTAGGCACATTAAAGATTTAACATTACAATCTTACAAAACCATTAACTTTATAAGGTTTCATAAGTAGCATTTTTTAATAGAATCGTTTATAACCATCTTTATTCCTCACCTGTCAAGAGGTGTTCATATCAAAACAAAAATGCATCTTTGTTGTGAGTACTTGTTTGTCCATATGTAATATCTTTATAATAAATAACTATTGCTCTACACTTGGTATTGAGCTCTCTTTTAAATTATTGCTATGAACATTTATATTCTTTTCCACTTCGATATATATATATATATATATATATATATATATATATATATATATATATATATATATATATATATATATATATTTCATTAAAGACAACTGACAACTGTGATTAAGCTTTTTATTTGATTTTTCTTGTGTTCATATAAGTGTTTTTTTTTCTGGACATAAAGTGTCTAAAAATTCTCCAAATGTTCTGTATATGCAAGTAGATTTCCATGAGTGTTTTAATGAATCCTAATTGAGCTATGGTCAGAGAGATGTAACATGAGTTTTTTTGATAAGCCTGTCATGGTATGTCCACTATAATTATTCATGAATTTGGTTTGATCAGGAACACAGTTTTTTTATATACTATTTTTTTAATTTTTTATCTATATATGTAAACATCCATATTGTTTGACTGCAGTTTTTTGCTTTGTTCTAAAAATAAACTCATCTAGAGTCTCTTGTATCTGATTATTTATAAGTAGGTGAGCAAATGGCAAATGGAGGATGTCACTCATGTTTAATAGCTCTTACACTTAGGTCATTATTTGAACCAGAAATGTGTGTTTCACAGTAGAGGAACAGTTACTTAACCTACAAAATCTTTTACCCTATAAAATTAAAACATTTTATATGCCTTTATGGCTTTAAGATGTAAGGTTAGCACAACTTTATTTGTTAAAGAGAAGACATTATTATAAAAATATTAGGTGTTTTCAAAAGTTGCTAATACTTCTTTTTTGAGAATTAGAGACAAAATGCAAAGTTGAAATTTTTGTATACCCTTAACATATACCATTTTTCTTTACACTTTTTAAAAGAATCTGTGGAGAGTCATGTTTCATCTACATTCAGATGAAACATGGCATTAAAAAAAAGTAAAAAAGAAGCCAATATAAAACTTGTAGTTTTTATCTCTCATATAGTATTGATATCATTCACTCAGAAGAAGATTGGCATTTCTTTTCTAGTATAATGGTACTAAAAAAGAAATGCCAATCTTCTTCTATGTACCGCATCCCTTCAGAATGTTTGCAATCATGGCCCTCCCCAATTTCCCATCCTTTGTAGCTCTTAATAAATTTTATCTTTTATTATGTCTCCTAAACCTTGCTCTGCTATCCATTTATGCAAGCTCGCCAGGTAGATTATGCATTGTTTTCCTCTCTCCCTCTTGCTTCCTGTGAGTATTACATTTTCCAAACCCTATTTCCTCATTATGTACCCTAGAAATTTTAACTATCTCTTCCTGATCTTAACTATAAATGTCCTTTTTGTTTCCATTTTCTCTAAAACTTTGTCAT